TTGTTTTTATACGAAAGTAAATGAACCATACTAATACACATTGTTCATGAGATTGCAATGAATAATATCAAAACGAAATCTCTTACTGTTACTGTGTTATGTGCTACTGAAGTCAACAGATATAATTAGTATGTAACATCAATCGTATGTGAAATGTCTGGTCACAGAAGGTTAAAAAGATTGAAAAGAAGAGAATGATTAGCATGGAAATGAACAAACAATGAAGTGTGAGACGATTGATTGACAGTTTGTAAATGAAGTATTTACTGTATGATTCTCAGATGTAATTTTGTATTCAAATACAATCGCTTGTTCCCACTTTGTTTTCTCGTTCACATAATCACCTAAATGGATGGCACGTTAAAATGTGGATTTAGAATCTTTCGATGGAATACAATTTTAGCAAATAAAATTAATTATAAATACGATTGTACAGCTGAATGTTTCTTCGCTGAGTCGCTTACTTTCTCAGTGAATGCAATTTCACTCCTACATCCATCGAGTTATTATTGTAGTGTGTGTGCTATTGATGTCAACAGATATAAGTAGTATGTATCATCATCTACTATTTGGCAGTAGAGGGTTAAGTAGATTGAGAAGAAAAGAATGATTGGTGTGGAAACGAAGGAACGGTCAAGTCTGAGTCGATTGATTAACTTTTCGCAAATGAAATATTTAATGTATGGATACTGAATTTTATCAAGATATTCTATAATGTTGGGTTAAAAACCATTTGGTTTTCATCATCTTTGTTCTCATTCACTACATTGGAACAAACTTTATTGGTTCATTAAATGATCATATCCACTTTTTAGTTAACTTACAAAGAATTTGTATAAATCATGGTATTTCCCACTGAACTAAATAATGAAATCCATCAGTGGAATACATTTTAGGCCATGGCTTCGTATCGCACGAGTGAGATCGTGTATGCACACTACTCAACAATCCCACAATAGGACAAAACGGTTGTTTAATTCTTCCAGATTTTCAATGATGGTCAATCACCAATCAATTCATGATCTCAATCAATAAATTAACAATCTCCATAACCTCATACTGATAACAGTTTATTAGTTTTTGATTGAGATCATGAACCGATTGATGTTAAACGACCGTTGAAAATCTAGAAGCATTAGACAGCCATTTCGTCCTATTTTGGGACTCCTCAGCAGTGCCCATCTACGATCCCACTAGCAGGATTCGAACCCAGGGCCTTCAGTCTTGCGCGCGAACGTTTAACCTCTAGACTAGTAAGCCGGTCGGCATACAATAGTGTTATTGTCCAACGTCAACCAATCCGCGTAATTGCGCAATCATCTTCCACTGTACTAATGTAAATACCTGTCTCCACCTAACCCGGATTAGATCCCCTGATCACGACTTCTCACTCTGAGAATTCCCTCACGAATCTAGTCACTAGTGAGCACGCATTGCTAAGGAGTCCCACAATAGAACGAAACGGTTGTCTAATGCTTCTAGGTTTTCAATAGTAGTCTAACATTATTCAATTCATGATCTCAAACAGAAACTTAATAATTTCCACAATCCCCATACTCATAATTATCATCTGCTCACTATTGACTAGATTCGTGAGGGAATTCTCGGAGTTCTAGTGAGAAGCCGTGACCAGTGGAGCTAATCTGTGTCGGATAGAGATAAGTATCTATCCCAGTACAATGGAAGATGGTCGCGCAATTTTGTGGATCGGTTGAAGTTAGAAATTAACTTCACTGGATGCCGGCTCAGTGGTCCAGTAAATTAAGCGTTCGCTCGCAAGCCCTGGCTTCGAAACCCGAGGGCAGGGTTGTGGATGTGCACTGCTAAAGAGTCCCACAACGGGACGAAACGGCCGTCCGGTGCTTCCAGGTTTCTAAAGGTGGTCTAACATCAATCGGTTCATGATTTCAATCGAAAGCTTAATAATCTCTACAACCCTTTACTGATTATTAGTTTTCCAATATTCATATTGTAGAAGCATTATTGTATAACACTAATAATTTCAGCTAAAATTTACTATGATGACAAGAAGTATATGTGTAGTGAACACGAACACCAGCGGGGGCAATCGAATGTATTTAAGACAGCATTACTGGACTTGTTAGTAAAATCTAACAATCATAAAGTAAATGCTTAAATCTCCACCAGTTGTCTCCAAATGACTTAGACTTCATTGTTCTTGCATTTTCATACAAATTGCATTCTATTTCCATTCTTTATTGTTTGATCCTCTTGTCTGTCTGCTGCCAGACCTTCTGTTCACGATTAACATCATATACTACTTATGTCAATATAAGTAGCACACACCACATATGAATTACTATATGAACTAGGAATCGCCAAAAATAACACAATCAAGTTTAAATAGAATTAAGTATACATAGCCACATTTACTCAGCATGAAGTTTATTTTTTCGGATAGTTCACATGGTAACTAATTTTCTAGAGTTGAGGTAATGAGATTGTTAAAGAATTATCAGTGCCCCCATATTAATATATATATTCTATGAGTACTGCTAGAACGCTCAATTTTCCACATTTACATGAATAGGACATTAATTTGCCTTAGACGAATATCTACAATAGATACCCCAACAGTATCTATTCTACAGGACTTCAACACAACTCAGATCAAGAACACATGATTAACCTAACTAGAATGTAAATATATTTCCATACCAAAAGCCCATACTATCCAACAACAATTAACTTCTAGTCTGAACCATGTGGGTCGATGCAGACTATTTGGTTGAGGTCCGCGTGATTATCGTAACCAATGTTTGGAGACTCTAGGTGATGTGATTCAGAATCAATCACAATGGTATCGATGTATACACTCTCTGTCTTTCTTTAAACTATGACATGTAAATCGCTCCATATCTTGTTTTCTACCAACTAATTCTTTCTTCATGTACTGTGTCCTTATATCCAATCATTCTTTTATATATTACACCATTGGAGTAACTACTTCTATGAATTCGGTGTTCATCTTGTTGTGCTAATGAGGTATGGCAACTTGTACCGATGCACATATATGTGCCTGATACTTCATTGTAGCTGATTGAAAACAATCATTTATAATTATCAATAAAGATAATGAAATATATAATTCATCTAACACTTGTCAAACGATCTACAAATTTGATTCAGAAAACAATCAATCATGATCATCTTGATCTATACATCAAGTACAAATCGTTATTGAATTCAACATTTCTATTTCAACAGTTTTTACTTCATTCGATCAAAATCGATATCTGAAAAACGGATCAGTTCACATCATCTATACTATCCATTTCTAATGTTATATCTCTAGTGCTTAGATTCTTATTATACTGCGTATAACTTGAGTAGTCGAACGTTAGAACTCTCCCAAGTCACAAATGAGAAGATGGAAGACAAGTGAACGGAGTGCTATTCCAAAACAGTGTCAATTATGGTGGCTATCGTTTTTTTTTCTTTAGTAAGAACGAAATAATCGTTATAGTCCTCCAATCCGAGTAAGTAAGTAAGTAAGTAAGTAAGTAAGTAAGTAAGTAAGTAAGTAAGTAAGTAAGTAAGTAAGTAAGTAAGTAAGTAAGTAAGTAAGTAAGTAAGTAAGTAAGTAAGTAAGTAAGTAAGTAAGTAAGTAAGTAAGTAAGTAAGTAAGTAAGTAAGTAAGTAAGTAAGTAAATAAGTAAGTAAAGTAAAGTAAACTAAAGTAAGTGATGATAGTCAATATATCGTTAATTTGATAGAGAAACTTGTTTTTTTAAGAAATAAACAAACCTTCAAGATTTTGATTATAAACATAATATTTGTAGACATTTGAAATCCCCGTTTTTTGTTTAATTGTGTCAAGGTCAATGCTGAACTAATCCGTAGTAGATAATGAATGTATTCTGTTTTCCATTGTGATTGTACTTATAATGTAATAAGAAAACTAATGTAATACAGTATGATCAAGTAAGTTATATTATGTATAAATGAATAAACAAGGTCAATAATATAGATTATTCGAGTGTTATTGTTGTGATTGTTTTGTTTTGGTTAGAAAAAAAAACAGTCACATTCTCGAAAGTTCCTTATTGAATGAACTTAACAAGTTCAAATTAAAACATGATAAATTGAAAGAGTGAGAGAGATGGAGAGAGAGACGGTTATTTGACTTCATGGTAATTCATACTTATCATGGGATTGGATCTATTAACGTTACTCTATTAACTTATGGATTAGATCTTTAGATCAAAGGCTCCGGATATGACCGCCTTAAAGGAACCACCTGCTATGGTTTGGGCAGTCGAGCTGTATCACAGCTTTAAATTTCTTACTTTATATTTTATTATCACAAGAGTTGAGATTATAAGTCGATTGAAGTTAGATCACCATGGAAGACCTTGAAGAACTGAAAAGCCGTTTCTTCCTAGTGTGTGACTCTTCAACAGTGCTCATCCATGATCCCACCTCTCGAGATTCGAACCCAGGATCTATGTGTAAAAATAATGATTTTGGTTATTGGTTCAGATAAGTTGTAGTTGATTTTTAACTGAAATTTTTAATGTTCAATGCATATGATACATTCAGTGATTCTAGACATTTGTTTGTCTATTTAATGATAAAACTATAATTTATGAACAAACCAATCACATATAAGATAACAGGTTACGGTTTTTGACGAGAAATTAACTCATCAATTTTGCTAAATAGAGTTTCCGTATTACACCTGATATCAGTTCGTGATGAAAAATAACCCCCTAAACCTAATTCCTAACGTTAACCGTCAACTGTAAATTATAATTCTAATTCCTCAAACACCGGTTTATAACCCACATTTCTTTCTAGGTATTAAATGGACGCTTTCAAGGGTCAGTCTATGGTCGCTCATAGGTTGTCCATAAATGTTTAGTCTCATCAATTAAGACTATGGTTATACATACATAAATAGAGGGTATTTTTATGTCGGATATCACACCTTATTTGAATAATAGATTCAATTACTTATAAATTGATTACAATAATGTCTAGAACTGTGGACAAATAAAGTAATAAAATATATGTTTATCAATGAGAACGGTAATAATCATTATTCGTAGTACCATTAGATGATTATCATTTCCGAGAATAGTAGTAGTAGTAGTAATGGTAGTGGTAGTAGTAGTAGTAGTAGTAGTAGTAGTAGTAGTAGTAGTAGTAGTAGTAGTAGTAGTAGTAGTATTGGTAGTGGTAGTAGTAGTAGTACTGGTAGTAGTAGTAGTAGTAGTAGTAGTAGTAGTAGTAGTATTGGTAGTGGTAGTAGTAGTAGTACTGGTAGTAGTAGTAGTAGTATTGGTAGTGGTAGTAGTAGTAGTAGTAGTTGTTGTTGTTTTTATTGTAGTTGTAATAGCAGAATGAGAATATTCATCACACTGAGTGGAATCGAATCCATATGAAGCCTAAAAATAGTCATGTTTACTTGAATTCATGACCCAACTAATATTAGGCAACCACTGAAAATGTAAAAGTATTGAATGGTTATTTTGTCCTAGTGTAGAACTCATCAGGTGGTCGTGTAATATTGTGAGCTGATTAAAGTTTGATATTAACACCATTATATGTTAGATTAGTGATCTAGAAATTAAACATTCACGTGCAACATCGAATGTTCTGGGTTCGATTCCTGTGTGTGGAGTTGTAGATGAACATCAGTGAGTAGCCTCATACTAGGATGAAGCAATTGTCCAGTGCTTTCAGATTTAATATGGCTGTCTTACTTAGATTGGGTTATGATTTCAATGAAATTCAACAGTCTTCACAACTCTCTACTTACAATTCATGTCAAATTTGTCAATCTAATTTTCTTGATGGTTGTGCTATCGTAATGTACACAGTCTCATTGCCTATAGAATATTCTAGTCTAAAAGTATATAGTAAATTGAGGTCTCAGAATTTCGGTACTTCAAATTTCCTAGACATACACAATTTGTCATAAAGCTTCTTATTGTAAAATGTTTTCATTCACTAATTGTGTCTGTCTTTTCAGTGCGCTGATACATTTCTCACAAATTATTCGTGAGATAGTAACTCATTGAAGACAATGGTGAGTGTGAAACTCAATTTCGTGGATTAACTAATGTTAGACATTAACACCATTCGATACCGGATGGCTCAGTGGTTTAGAGGTTAAGCGTTCACGTGTGAGACTAATAGGTCTTGGGTTCGAATCTCACGAAATGAGATTGTGGATGTGATCTGTTGAGGAGTCCCATACTGGTACGAAACGGCCATCCAATGCTTCCAAGTTTTGTATAATGGTCTAGATTCAATTGACTCATGAATTGAACTATAAAATTACTAAAGTCTCTACAAAACCCCTTCGGATAAACCTATTGGAAGTCTTAAATAGAAGTATGTACCTAAAGGTCTACGAGAGATCAAGTTCAAATACTTCAAGTCATTCAATAAACTCACTAACTTTCTCATCATTGAACATGTTCTATCACAATTATCTAATTAAGATCAGTTCGTGATAGACTCATCATTCTGATCATTATTGATTATCAGCTTTTCTGTTTTGAATAGGTCAAAGTCAAAATGATATTGGATGATCATTATGTTTTTATGATAACAAATCTTATTGATTATTGATTAAAATGATGTTGAAAAAAAGAAGCTACAATTAATTTCAATAGTTTAGATTATGAGTCAATTGAAACTGGACCATCATTGAAAACATAGAAGCACTGGACGTTAGAATTATGGATATGCACTACTGAAGAGTCCTATACTAGGACGAAATAGTTGTTTAGTGCTTCCAAGTTTTTTATGATATTAGTTTAGTGATTGTGAAGATTGTTAAGCTTTTGATTGAGATCATGAACCGATTGATATTAGACCACTATTGAAAACCTGGAAGCACTGGACGGCCGTTTTGTCCTATTGTGGGACTCTTCAGCAGTGCGCATCCACGATCCCGCTGGCGGGATTTGAACCCGGGGCCTTTTTTGTTATAGTCTAGCTTAAGTGAACTCATCAATTCAATTAATAACTTATCAGAATACTTTCTTTAAAGTGATGAGTAAGTTAACTTATAATTCACTACAGTTAATAAACAACCTAGCAATTAAAAATTCCTATTTTATCGATCTAATGATGAATTTGATCTTGTATGATCTCTAAAGTGTTTTCATTTGTGATCATCAATATTCATTTATAATGAAAACTGACTTTAAACTAAAATGATCTATGATATTAATAAATGTGAAGCATAGAATAGAACTCCGCCTAGAGTCACTCCGGGGGCTACTGCCGGTCTCAAGCCCGGATAAAGGAGGGCGGTTGGGCATGGGGTTAGCGATCCCATCCCGTAGAAAACGAACTCGCTAAAAAAACTCTAACCAGAAGCATAGAAAAAGAAGATTGAAGTTGGAATTCAATCATATTGTACATGAGACAATGTAAGTTATAGGTTGACTTCTGTATCATCAAGATAAGTTATGAAAGATTATTGAAAAATCTTAGAAAAGGAATGAAACTATAGAGGTTAGTATCTTCTATATCTGACTTTAATAAATGATATCCCGTCAGTTGAGCATTTAACGCTGGCTAAATCTCCTAGTAGAGTTATGAATTTACTTAAGAGATTATTCAGAAACCTGAACATCAGTTGTAGATATAGTTTATTGTTAAAGATGAATAAAATCAGAAAGCGTACAAGGAATCAAGTACACAGGGAAAGCAAGAGATAGTGTGTGTATATGTGTGAGTATTAAAAATCCATATATATTTTTGAGTGGTAATCAAGTATGAATAAATTATTGATTGTGTGTGTGTATTACAACCAATGGGAGAATAGAGTAAAGTTGATGTGCAGAACTGTGCTCGGTCAGACTCACAGAAAATGACATGGTAGATCAAATGTCTAAATTACAGTGAGCAGATTATTTATTTATTTTATTGTTTGTTTTAACACATAGATATTGGTACAAAGAGGCACCAAATACATATGCGCCACACAAATCTCATTCGATATGTGTGGGGGGGTGATACTGCCCGGGTGCCCAAACTGAAGTAGGTGGTTTACTCAGGGGAGGCCACATCCGGAGCCTTCGATATGAAGATCTGATACACAAGACAGTGGAGCAACGTCAGGAGATGCAGTCCCATGATAACCGGTGACCAACGATTGGTTCATACGCCATATATCCCTTCAGGATACTGGAGCCCATGTTCACAATTGGTTTGGAATGAGAGTTTTCCAATTCCCCTAGGTGGACTCACCGTGTCCATCGGCCTGGTTAAAGGGCCGAGCATTCGCCTTTTGTCCTCTCAGTTTCGTAAACAACACCCCCGCCACGAGAAGGCAGTGAGTAGGACTTCCCTGTCAGAGGCTATATACGCGTGGCCGTTTGAGAGTATTTGGAGAGTGAGAGCGAACTCTCTTCACTCTCAACCGTACCAGGGCATTTGGGGGCAGTCAACAGATAAATCATACAATAGTGGAATGAGTTGACTACAAAACTATTCCTATTAGAATTGTTTAGTTCATAGTAGTTCTTTACAACTATCATCTCTTAATGTAAGTTTGATTAAGTTTCAAAATATAACCACTGAACTAGATCAAAATTGTACTTTTAATTATTGATCAAAATTACTATGATAAACTTAGACCTAAAATACATACTTTGAAGAACATATGAAACTCAAAACAACTTTCCACCTATATCAAAGTGAGAATCTTCAATACGAATGTCAAGGCAGTTCTACTGTATGGAGCTGAAACTTGGAAAACTACAACAACCACAATCAGGAAAGTACAAGTATTTATATATAGCTGTCTACTCAAGCTACTCAACATCCATTGGCCGGATACCATTAGCAATAGCCTTCTGTGGGAGAGAACAAACCAACTTCCAGCTGAAGAAGAAATTAGGAAAAGACGATGGAAATGGATAGAACATACATTACGCAAATCTTCAAACTGCATCACGAGGCAAGCCCCAACTTGGAATGCTGAAGAGAAGTAGAAAAGAGGAAGTCCAAAGAACACATTACATCGGATAATAGAAGCAGATATGAAAAAGATGAATAACAACTGGAAAGAGCTGGAAAGGATTGCCCAGGACAGGGTTGAGTGGAGAATGCTGGTAAGCGGCCTATGCTCCTTCACGAGGAGTAACAGGCGTAAGTAAATAAGTAAATAAAATACATACTACTTAATTATCATTAACTCAACATATATGAATTGTATATATTAAGTATAGTTAAATCTGAATGAACATTTTTGGAAGTAACATAAAAGGATATTTACACTTAGTAGTGTTTTAAATACTTTATAGATGTATATTATGTTATTTAATTTAACAACCATTATTCTATATTACTTACTTACGCCTGTTATCCCTCGCAGAAGAGTATAGAACGCCAACCAACACTCGCCATTCCACTCTGTTCTGAGCAATACTTTCCTGCTCTGACCAGTTCCTATTCATTCTTTTCATATCTGATTTCAATTGTCGACGTAGTGTGTTATACGACCTTCCACTTTCCCTTTTCCATTCAGAATTCTAAGTTAGGGCTTGTCTCGTGATGCAGTTTGGTGATTTCCGTAATGTATGTTCTATCCGTTTCCATCGCCTTTTCCTATTTCCCTCTTCAGCTGGAAGCTGGTTTGTTAATCCTCACCTTTATGTCTGCATCCGATGCTACATGTTTATTGGTGACACTTCCCAGATATGTGAAAGATTTCATATCTTCTAGAGTTTCTCCACCAAGTGTGATTGAGTTGGTGTTGTGCGTGTTGCATTTGAGGATGTTGCTCTTTCTCTTGTATATGTTGAGGCCTACTGATGCAGATGCTGTTTCTACAGTGGCTGTCTTCATCTGCATTTAATGTGTGTGTATGGGATAGGAGGACTAGTTTATCTGCGAAGTCCAAATCGTCTAATTGGTTCTGAGCTATACATTATATTCCGTGCTTTCCCTCAGATGCCGAGATTTTCATAATCCAGTCAACCACCAGAAGAAAGAGAAAGGCGGAGAGTAAACAGCCTTTTCTGACCTCGGTCCTTACCTTCAATGTATCTGTTAGCTATCCTCCATACATAACTTTGCACTGTAGTCCGTCGTATGAGGTTTGGATAGTGTTGACAACCTTCTCAGGAACTCCATAGTGTCGAAGAAGTCTCCATAATATTCTCCTATCTCCTATTTATCTATCTTTAAAACTTATCTTTAGCAAATGAATTTGTTCCCATAGAAACTGGAGTATGCACCATTTAGAATTGTAAATAAAGAGATTATAACTTTAATACATTAGTTCGTCACTTACATATCGATTGATCAGAATTGATTTAGAATATAAGGAATTCATCATCAGTTACTAACATGTGTTGTTTTCATTGAAAATTATCCAAAAATTCGTTTCCATTAGTGAATTCATAAGATTTATATAACTTTAATTCTGATATTGATTCAACGTCTTATGAACTATTAGTTACTAATGTTCACTCATTAAGACAGTTGTCTTAAAAACGTATCTTTTTTTGAATACAATGGACAGATCGGATTCAATCAGAAGATTTGGACTAGCTCTTCTATCCCATACACACACGTTAAATGCAGATGAAGACAACTAGTGTAGAAGCAGCGTCTGCATCAGTAGGCCTCAACATATACAAGAGAAAGAGCAACATCCTCAAATGCAACACGCACAACACCAATTCAATCGCACTTGGTGGAGAAACTCTAGAAGATATGAAATCTTTCACATATCTTGAAAGCATCATCGATAAACGTGGAGCATCGGATGCAGACGTAAATGTTAGGATTACCAAATAAAATACTGCATTCCTACAATTGAAAAACGTATGCAACTCAAAACAACTGTCAACCAATATCAAAGTCACAATCTTCAATACGAACGTCAATACAGTTAGTTCTACCGTACAGAGCTGAAACTTCGAGAACTACTACAATCATCATCAAATAAGTACAAGCATTTATAAACAGTTGTCTACGCAAGATATTCAATATCCGTTGGATGGATACTATCAGCAACACCTTCATGTGAGAAAGGACAAACCAGCTTCCAATTGAAGATGAAATTATGAAAAGACGCTTTAAATGGATAAGACATACACTACGGAAATCACCAAACTGCATCACGAGACAAACCCTAACTTGGAATCCTGAATGGAAAAGGAAAAGTGGAAGGTTGAATAACACATTACGTCGACAATTGGAACCAGATATGAAAAAGATGAATAGGAACCGGAAAGAACTAGAAAGTATTACCCAGAACGGAGTTGAATGGAGAGTGCTGGTGGGCGGTCTATACTTCTCCACGAGGTTTAACAGGCCTTATTAAGTAAGTTTCAAAAGCGTTGCTACATATTAAAGCTAGACCACTATGAAAAACTTGGAATGATTGGATGACCGTTTCATACCAGTATGGGACTCCTCAACAGACCACATCCACAGTCTCGTTTCGTG